TCACAGTTTACATTATTGCCAAAAGACTGTTGTGACTAGCAGATATAATGTGGTGCATACATTTTAGGTAAGAATGGAATCTAAAGGAGCTGAAATTCAATTCTGTGTTTAATCCATATGCCTTTGAGAAATTCATATAATGTGGAACATTTTGTCTCTGAAATCCTTTGTTTAAAAGGGAGTTACATACCTATTAAAAAGCTATGACCAGCTCATACAAAATCTGCCAAACTATGTTACATTAATTTAAATTATTCGCATATTTAATATTTGGAAGTCATTATTTATCTGAGATTCTGACTGTTTTATGGAGTAATTCAATTTGGAACATGTCCACCCTGGCCCTGTTTTGAAGGCAGATGGAGGAAGTAAAACTTTATCAGGTTAGAGTTCAAACACTACTCAAATATATTTCACAGGTTTATACAAAACTGTTCACATCATGAAAAGTACTTTAAAAATTGAAATACTAAGTGAATATGAAAACACAAGAAAGAAGAGAAAGAAAAAGCCACAAAAACGTAGACAAACATAGGCAAACAACGTGAACAAGCAATTGACAAAAGAAGTAGATATGGCCCTTAAATATAGTAAAAGATGCCTGACTTCATAATGAGAAGCATAAATTAATCCTTCACTCAGATACCATTTCTCACCTCTTGGATTTTCAAAAATCCAAAGGCTGGACAAGACACTCTTTTGACAGAGTGAGAATTCTCTGTGTATACCTTCCATATAGACTTAAATTTTGAACTATGTAAATATAATACTGTATTAGTCAGAGTTCTCCAGTGAAACAGAACCAATAGGATGAGAGGTAGATTGATAGATGTATAGACAAATACAAAGAGGTGTATTATGAGAAATGGACTCATGCAATAAAGAAGGCTAAATCCCTCAAACTGCCATCTGCAAACTGGAGACCCAGGAAATCCAGTGGGGTAATTCAGTATGAGTCCAAAGGCCTAAGAACTGGGAAGTCAATGGTGTATATCCCAATTGAAGGGCAGTAAAAGATCAGATGTCTCAGGTCAAGCAGTGAGACTGTTTGTTCTTTTCAGGACTTTTGGATTGGATGATGCCCACCTATATTGGGGAAGACTATCAATTTTATTGAGTACACCAATTCAAACACTAATCTCATCCAAAAATACCCTTGCAACCAGAAATTATGTTTAATCTGGGCACCTGTGGCCCAGTCAAGTTGACAATAGAATTAATCATCAAAGCTATTCATTCAGAGAACATATACAAAAAAAAAAAAAAAGAAGAAGAATGATGCAAATCTTCTCTAGAACCTTGAAAGCAATAAAAAAAAATTTAGGTTGGTGAAAAGTTATTGCAGTTTTTCCTTTTTTTTTTTTTTTTTTGAAGTAGTCTCACCCTGTCACCCAGCCTGGAGTGCGCACGCCCGGCTAATTTTTTGTAGTTTTAGTAGAGACGGGGTCTCACCGTGTTAGCCAAGATGGTCTCGATCTCCTGATCTTGTGATCTGCCCGCCTTGGCCTCCCAAAGTGCTGGGATTACAGGCTTGAGCCACCGCGCCCAGCCTTCCCAATACTTTCAGTTGCAAAAGCTACAGTTACTTTTGCACCAACTTAACATATTCATAATTATGAAGAAAAATTATTTGCAACCTTAGATTCTGTATTTAACAATTTATCAAAAGTAAAATATAGAATCTGTTGAGGATATATGGATGTAAAATCTTTTGAGTGCTAAATGCTTGAAGTATATTAGCATATAAAATAGACAAAAATTATTGTCCCTTGTGGAACTTTCACTCTAGTAGTGAAGGCATACAATAAATACAATATATAATAAATAAGCAATTTATGGTTAAAAAAATAGATCAAGTAATGGTGGCTGGGGGTAGGGTACCAGGAGAGGTATCGTTCCAGAAAACAAACAACAACAACAACAAAAAACTAGTAGAGTACCTGATGTGTTTTTTAATATTGAAAAGAGTTTTACACTTCTTTCAGAGAATTTGAAAAATAATTAGTGTTGTGTTCATTGAAAACTAAGCAAACAAGAAAGCATTTTTGCTTTCATAGAAAATTTAAAATTTCAAGTCCCTTGGAAAAATATTTTCTTAAACATATTTACAGAGTCAACATAATACATTGAGTGAATGCTGATTTTTGACACATAAAACACTGTATTATTATATATCATAATTCTATGGGTCAGGAATTCAAATATGGCATAGTGGGGAAGATTCATCTCTTTTTCTATGACATCTGAAACCTCAGCTGAGGTGACTAAGTTGCTGGGGGCTGAAAGAGTTGGGAGGTGACTAGGCATCTCTTTTTTCATGTGCTTTCTCCACATGACTAGCCTAAGCTTTCTCAAAGCATGGACCCTCGGGGTAGTCAGACTTCTTAAATGGTGGCTCAGGGTCAAGAAGGAATGATTCTAGAGATCACCAGTATTAGAAATTTGCATCATATACAAGGCAATGCTCTGAGGGCACAACATCACCTTCATTATATTCCCGCTGAAAATGCACAATTGGAATCCAATGCTGAGAAAACAGACAAGCCCAAATCAAGGAACATTTTATGAAACAACTGGCCCGTATACCTCAAAAATATCAATGTCATGAAAGACAAGGAAAGGCGAGGAACTATTTCAGATGAAAGGAGACAATTTGCTAGGTCTACAATAACATACTACTGAGTAAATATTGATTTTACCATAAAACGTGAGAAATATATCATAAGGAGGATCTAGGAAAAAATGTGGGTGTTTGGGAACGAATTTATTTAGAGAGCGGAATCCTTACCTTACATAACAAAGTCGACATATAATCTCTAATTGGGAAAATCAATTAAGTTGTAGTATAGCATATTGTTTTCAAACATGAAGACAAAATTCAGAAAAATTAATAGTTAAATAAGTTGAAGGCTGTCACTTCTAGTGAGAAGAGTATTGGGTGAGAAAGAATGATTGGCAAGTATTGTTTTGTGTTAACACCTGTGGTACTATTTGACTTTTAAGCTATGTACACATATTACTATGTATATTCCATTAAATAGTTGCATTATAATGTGTTAAACAAAGTCCCCATAGATATTTCATTTAGCTTTGTGCATTTCTTCAAGTACTTCCTGAGGTTAAATTCCTAGATTTTGAATGATGATATCATGGGAACACATATTTAAGATTTTTTTTATATATATTACCAAAATGTCTTCCAGAATGTTTATTACAACATCCTGCATCAAAAGTACTGAATGAAAATGCTCGCTTCCCCAGGGTTTCTACAAAAATCTTTGCCAATGTTACATTAAAACAAAGCAAAAATAATACTTTCTAAATTATATTTCACTAAGTATCAGTCTGGTAACTTTTCATATGTATGTTTCATTGTATGTATTTCTTTTTCTTATAAATGTCTATGTCATTTGCCCATTTATCTATTGAGCTATTTGTCTTTTATTAATTTGTAAGCACTCTCTGTGCATTGATATAATCCTGTATGTCACATAATTTCAAACTATGAAAATTTTTACATAGTTTGTCTTTTGTCTATGACATTTTGTCACATAGCTTTATGTTTATATTTCATGTTTAAGGCATTTTACTATATAGTTTATCTTTCCTTGGCACTATTCTCTTTTTATCATTTATACCTTGAATGGGATTATTGCTGTGTTGTCATAAGTATTTTATATTCAGAACAAGAGCTTGAATCTAGTCTGTTGTGAAGGATGAAAGAAAGTATTTTTTCAGGGAAATCACTTATCAGATTTATATTTTCTAAAAATCAATGTGGTTTTGTTTCAAGCACCACAAATTATTTGACATTTCTCCTATCAATGGGTGGGATCTATGTTCCTTCCTCTTGAATCTGGGCAGGCTTGTAACTGCTTCAACCAATATGGATTGACAGAAGTGATACTATTTCACTTTCAAAGCCAAAGGTCATATATCTTCTATCTGGTTCTCTTTGGAGGCTCACTCTGGAATAAGCCAACTTCCATTTAAGGATTCCAATTACAGCACTCTGGAGAAGTCCGTAGGCACATCTGTCAGCAATCCAAACCTTCTAGTCATCTCTGCCAAGACACCAGACAGGTGAGTAAAAGAACTTCTAGAGGATTTCTGTCTCCGGCCATTTGTCACCCCCAGCTGTTTAAATAATCCCAAATTAAGCCTCGGACACTGAGGAGTAGAGACAAGCCATCCCTACTATACCCTATCACAATTTCTGACTCCTAGAATCCATGAATATAATAAAATGATTGCTGTTTATACTACTAACTTTGAATGGTTTGTTCACAGCCATAAATAGCTGAATAATCACTCTAGCAACAACACTGGCAATGAATTAGAAAAGGGAATGAAGAAGTCCAATTAGGAGGCAATTGCAAGTGTCCAGAAGAGACACAGAGAAACCTGAAACAAGGTTGGAAGGAAAATGGGAAGAAATTTAGAGAGTTCAGAAGCTGAATTTGCAACATACGCATATCACAAAAATAGATTAGTATTAAAATATAACCTTTTAGACTGCTATATCAGAAAACTAAGCCACTTATCAGCCTAAGCCTCTATCAAACATGAGTCCATAACTAATTTATAGAAAAATGAAGTAATTTTCTTCCCAAGTGTCACACTTTTTACAAATCATGCATTCTTCCACTACAACTTTAAAGTTTTTTCTTTTGTAACCAGAAGGTCACAGGTAAGTCAGGGCTCACTGAGGGAGCTCAGGGGATCAAATCAAAGGAAATCCGGCTTGAGTATGTGACAATGGCACACAATTTAGTCACAGAAATAACACATAAGCAGTCTTTTAATAAGGAAGCTAAAGGGTTATTTTTCACCCTCTGAAAAGCAAATTGTTTTAATTGGCTAAGATCAGAAAATATCGACAGGGTTCCAGAAGCAATATAATATTAGGACTTTAAACCAGTCCAAATTATCTTAGAAGTAAAAGAGAAAGATGGAGTCCATTAGCTCTATTTGAAAACAATAGTGGCAGTTGCAGTCGTGTTCTCCGAGTTCCTGTCTCTCTGCCAACGCCGCCCGGATGGCTTCCCCAAACCGCGACCCGGCAGCCACTAGCGTCACTGCGGCCCCTAAAGGAGCCGAACCGAGCCGAGCCGAGTCGAGCCCAGCGGGGGCGCTGCCCGGGGTCCCGGGGGGCAAAACGCTACAGCAGGAGCTGATGACCCTCTTGATGTCTGGCGATAAAGGGATTTCTGCCTTCCCTGAATCAGACAACCTTTCCAAATGGGTAGGGACCATCCATGGAGCAGCTGGAACAGTATATGAAGACCTGAGGTATAAGCTCTCGCTAGAGTTCCCCGGTGGCTACCCTTACAGTGCGCCCACGGTGAAATTCCTCACACCCTGCTACCACCCCAACGTGGACACCCAGGGTAGCATATGCCTGGACATCCTGAAGGACAAGTGGTCTGCCCTATATGACGTCAGGACCATTCTGCTCTCCATCCAGAGCCTTCTAGGAGAACCCAACAGTGATAGTCCCTTGAACACGCAGGCTGCCGAGCTCTGGAGAAACCCCACAGCTTTTAAGAAGTACCTGCAAGAAACCTACTCAAAGCAGGTCACCAGCCAGGAGCCCTGACCCAGGCTGCCCAGCCTGTCCTTGTGTTGTCTTCTTAATTTTTCCTTAGATGGTCTGTCCTTTTTGTGATTTCTGTATAGGACTCTGTATCTTGAGCTGTGGTATTATTTTTGTTTTGTTTTTGTCTTTTAAGCCTCGGTTGAGCCCTTGTGATGTATATTAAATAAATGCATTTTGATCCTTTTTAAAAAAAAAAATAGTAAGGCCAGTTGTGTTACAGCAGGTGAAACTATTTAAACCATTACTTCCTAATTGGGATCTTTTGCTTTCTCTGGCTTGTTGGGAAGCAAACTAGCAGGTGATTTTAACTGTTTGTCCTGACTCAACACTTTTGCTCTAGACTTTGTAACTTACCTGGGCCTTTCAAAGCCAAAGTGCCTATATGAGTAATCCATATATTAAAGTACCCCAATTCTACACTGAGAGTTTACCCAGGGGCTAGTAGAGTTAGACAAATTAGAAGAGGTTTATCATGGTGAGGAAAAAGTGCATTTAGTTCACCGATATTATCTAGATGATGCTGATTTGTATACTTCCAAATCTCAAAAGGCAACATTACCTTGATAAAGTCTAGTCTAGTCCTAAGTCTCACATGTAAGTAGACCCAGAGATTATCAGAATTTCCAGGTTTGTTTTTTGAGACTGAGTCTCACTCTGTCACCCAGGATGGAACACAGTGGCACAATCTTGGCTCACTGCAACCTCCACCTCCTGGGTTCAAGTAATTCTGGCTCAGCTTCCCTAGTAGCTGGGATTACAGGCACCCACCACCATGCCTGGCTAGCCAATTTTTAATGTTAAAAATAGGCCACATTTTCATTAAACTTGAGGAAAGCCATATCTAATGATTATCCAGAATGTCAGACTCTCCTGTGCATGGGGAAGCCCTTCTTCCAAACACCAAGAAACATGGAAAGTCAAACTAATATTCAGAAAACAAAATGGTGACTATGAAGGTAAAATGAAAATTGGTGTCTTCACATGACAAATTTTTTCTTCCAAGCTGTTATGAAAATTGACGAGCTAGACTCTTCTGACCACAGAAAACGCTAATCAAAGGATGAGACAGCTCGATGTTCACAAGCTAATGTATTTAATACCATAGGTTGAGCTCTTTAAGGAGCCAGTAACACCCTTTCCCTTCACCTTACCATTAAGAAGTGAATACAAAGGTTATGTAGGGTTCAAATTTTTCACTTATTGCTGGATTGTGGATTTCAACATGGACTTGCAGCCATATTCAGTCTTCCTGTGTTTTCCCTTCAAGTCTAACCCTTGAGCTACCCTCCTGGAGAGTTGGGTCTACAAAGCAAAATATCACCAAGCCAACCGAAAGTGGATGTATTAGTCCGTTTTCACGCTGCTGATAAAGGCATACCCAGGACTGGGCAATTTACAAAGGAAAGAGGTTTAATGGAAAACTCACAGTTCCTTGTGGCTGGGGAAGCCTCACAATCACGGCAGAAGGCATGGAGGAGGAAGTCACATCCTACGCAGATGACAGCAAGCAAAAACAGAGCGCCTATGCAGGCAAACTCCTGTTTATTTAAACCATCAGATCTCGTGAGCCTCACTCACTAACACGAGAACAGCACAGGAAAGACACGCCCCCATAATTCAATCACCTCCCACTGGGTTACAATTCAAGATGAGATTTAGGTGGGAACACAGAGCAAGAATATATCAGTGGTGTTGCAGCTGCTGAACAATCTGTTTGCCAAAGAGCTTCCTGAGAGCTTCCAAAGCAGTGGTAGTTAAGGCCTGACTCTTGAAGCTGGTCCTGATCCAGGTGTACCAACCACATAAAAAAGAAAGTCCAGAAAGGTCTCAGTGATTTATGCTCAGTCCCTTTCATTAATCTTGCCAATCATGTATCCATTCTTTACTGCTTGAAAAGAAGGGAGGGTAGAAAGTAGGGGTAGTGTAGAAGAAATAGCAGGAGCTCTGTTCCCAGTTCTTCTAAGGAGCCGTTCTTGTTTTGAGTCTAAGTGAAAACATGTCAAAGAGAATATAGCTCTTTCTTTGCTCTCTGCTCTGTGGAGCCAGGCAGGGTAGGAAAGGGAGATTCCAGGGATCGAAGAATTTAAAGCCAGAGTGATTGTCAACATTCCCATAGTGAAACACAGCTCCCCTTCACTAGCCCTAAATGGTGCCCTATAGAACCCTGGAAGACCTTCCCAGGGGCACATCACAACCTCACTGATGCAAAATGTCCTCTTTGGGACTACCAGAAGACATCATGTAGTAATCTTGTAGGTAGATGGCTGCTGAGTCACTATAATGAACATCTAAAATTTAACATCCTCTCCTTTTACTTTGTGTTACCAATGATTGATTTTTTGTCCTTTTTAAAAGAATATAATATAACTTGGAAACATTTTGGCTAGATACAGCTCAGTGGACTTAAAACAATGTGCTATGTTTGAAGAATTGGGCATCAAATTATTTTTGAAAAGCTTGCCAGTGACTTCAATAAGATGAGAACTTTTCAATAACATGAACTTTTAAAACAGCAAGTTTCAAACACTTTTTAGATGTTTCCTGCACCAGATGCTGTAGAGTACTATTTAGATCCTCCCTGAAGACCAAGGCGTTCTTTTCCTCAGGTGCTGAGAATCTTACCTACTGAAGATTCACAGCTGAGTCCATCTACAGGCATTGCCCTTCACTTAAAAAAGCTGTTTCCCTCAATCCTGCCCAAACGATGTCCCATCCTGGGAGGCAGCCAACATCCAATGACTGATCATTGTGGAATTAACACGTCTTAACTCTCTTGCCTTAATTTGGGAAAACCCTTAAGGATCAGCTCAGTGCCAGTGTTTCTTGTAGGATCAATTGTTGCAATAGCATTAAAATTCACCTTTTATTTTTTCCCCATCCTCATTGCTCTTGACTGCAATAAATTATAGTTGTAGACTAAAGAACAGGTCCAATTCTTCTTGCCTTTTCTTTCTTTCTTTCTTTCTTTCTGTCTTTTTTTTTTTTTTTTTTTTTTTGAGACAGAGTCTTATTCCGTTTCCCAGGCTGGAGTGCAGTGGCGTGATCCTGGCTCACTGCAACCTCTGCCCCCTGGGTTCAAGCAATCTTTTCTCCTGCTTCAGTCTCCCGAGTAGCTGAGATAACATTCACCTGCCACCATGCCCAGCGAATTTTTTTGTATTTTATTAGAGACGGGGTTTTGCCATGTTGGCCAGGCTGGTCTCAAACTCCTGTGTACCTGGAAGCTGCTATAATTTCAAGTCATCTATCAGACATTCAAGTGGAATCTTAAGTAAATAATCTATTACTGCGTAGGACTAGGCAAGTTTGGAACAACACTAAAACCAGTAGCACTCTTCCATCTAAAGAGGAAGTTCAAGTCCTGTAACCCTTCATCACTTAGTGTCAAGGCTAAGATACAGTTGGTTCTCAGTACTAGTGTAAAAGGTTTTGGAAACAAATGCTCTTGCTTCTGTGTAAACTGTCTATATTTGAGAGATCCTCCCATGGCCCTCCCTTTAGGATTGCTTGGTGTCTTTTTCCATTCTGTCTTCTCTCACATATATGGGGCAGAAGGATGAGCAAGAGCTCTCTACCACTTGTCAGGGCAAACACTGCCACTTTTAAAAAGCCAAACAAAGATCAAAGATCAGAATGAGATGCAAAGAAAACAGGACATGGAGGGAATACCTTAGGCCAATTACTCTAGGTTTTATGGTATAGTATCCGCAAGAATAATATTAAGAAGAGACAGTGAGGGTAAACTACTCTTCAAGACATTGTCAAGGAGATGAAGGCAGGAGATGAGACAAGAAACAAGGTATAGATGTTTTAAGTATAAAGGGATTCTGCGCTGCTTTGTTCCTAAAGATTACTCAAATTAGTTATTTTGTTGAAGGGCAGGCATCAGTAAGATAAGACAGTTACAACGTGAGAAATCAGGAGAGAGTAACTGATAAACAACTTCCTTAAAAAGCCTACATGGAAATAGACCAAAAGTACAGGAAAAGATATCAACTTTAAAGTGCAGGAATATTTCATCCTCTGAGACAGGCGATAAAAAGAAGGAACGTAAAGAGGTAGAAAAATTGGGGGGCTAAGAAAATTGTGTATATTGAGAAATATACACAAATTTCTGAATAAAATCAGAATTGAATTTATCTGCTGAATGTGAGACAGGTCAAGGGAATGTTGGGGACATAAGAAATGTGGAAAAGCTGAGGTGCATTTGCCCTAAAGGAGATAATAGGGGTTAATCAAGGGACTGAATAAACAATTTGCTAAACAATAGCAAGGATCTAGATAAGATTAAAGAGCTTGAATTTGTGATGTATTCATTCAACATAATTCTGTGATCAAGGGCTGACTTCTTAAAAAAAATAAATTGAGGTGGTGGTTGGTTGCCTAGATTTGGAGAGTGACCAGAAAGACAGCAAAAGGTTGGGTGATGGTGGGGCAGTTGGGAAGGTAGAGTACTAACAGGTGAGAGCGAATGCACATTTGTATTAGATGACCAATGAATCCATGCTGAGTGAGACAGAATAGGAATAGAACAGAAAGAACAGCAAGAGCCAAGGAGCTGGATGTCATACTGAAGGTTACAGCAAGAGCCACAAGTAGCTAGGAGAAGCAGTAGGCTGGGAAGCTTAAATCAGGTGAGGACAATTAACCGAGAGCACTTTAGACAGGTTCTATTGCCAGACTGCAAGAGCTAGTTCCACCTTACTAAGGAGACGAAGTAAATAGAATTGTTGTGGGAGTCCATACGTGAACACATTTAAAGTACTTAGGTCAGGGTCTGATATGTACTGTTCACTCAATAAATGTTAAGCTATCATTATATTCCAGAGTTTACCATTGTAGAGGTTCCATAATCAAAACAGGTGAAGCATTACTCAAATTGATAATGCATAACTTACAATGATGTATCATTTTGCTAACGGAGAGGTATCATTGAGAATAGATGGCTTCATGCCATCAGGAAGCTGAGGTTTAGTGAAGGCAAACACCACTGTATGCACATGGAAACAATTTACTAAGAAATTCTATCTTCTGGAGCTTTACTCTCCATGACTAGGAATGACAAGAAGAGGATATATTGATATTTATAAATTGAGGCATATTTAGGTGAGAAAAATTGTTCTTGCTTTT